GCAGATTCAGGTAAGACCAGGCTGGTCTTTTCTAGGGCTTGGTCACCGAGGCAGTTTAAAAGTCCCCTCGACCGTCAGTAATCTGGTGTCGATAAACTCATTATAAGATGGTTAAAGGAATTTTTACTTTCCAGTTCTTGTTACCATCATTCACTAGGAAAAGTGATAAAAGATCTGTGCTGACAAGTCGCTCTTCCTGATGCAGCCCCCGCCCTAATGGCAAAATTTAAAATGAAAGCTTAATCACTTCCCCAGGAAATACAAAGAGGAAAGAAGGGAGCAACAGAGGTATTTCATGGTTTAGATTTAAAAGAGAAATGAAACCACCATGCTTGATTGTTGTTTACATTGGGGCTTGGGTGTATCATCGCCTGAAGCTGCCTGTGGCTGAAGGGCAGCAGGGAGAGGGGGCCTTTGGGATTCCAAAAAAGAGGGAACATGCATCCAGGCAAAATTCCGGGAGATAGGTCTTGCCCAGCCCAGCTCTTCTCAACCCCAGCATGATGACGTTTTGGACCAGAAAATTCTTTGATGTGGGAGACTGTCTTGTGCATTGTAGGATGTTTATTAGCAACCGTGCCCTATCCCTACACTTCCACCCCAATACCGAAAATGTCTCCAGACTTTGCTAAATGTCCCCTAGGAATCCAAATCACTGGACTGAGAGCCACTGGTCTAGCTTGACAGGGAAGCAGCAGACTGCTGCAGTCAAAGCTCAGGTTTCCGTGTCGGGCATTTCCCGTTCAAGTCTCAGCTCTGCCATCTGGGCAAATGACTTACCTTCTAAACCTCAGTTCTTCACTTGAAACTGGGGCTACTTGTAGTCCCTACTTCACAGGGCTGATGTGAGGGCATGAGATAAGTCATATGATGCTCAATAAATGCCTGTCATAACTATATATTATGATCAAAAGGGACAGGAGTGGGGCAGAGAGGGACGGTCTGCACAGGATATTGTTGGCTAATAGGTTCATCAATTCGTTAGTCCCCTTGAACTCCTACCCACCGTCCCCTATGCTGGTTGAGAGGGGAGAAACCTTCCTTCTGGGAAGCAGGACAGGTTCCCATACCATGTGCGGGGCAGTGTTTGCCCTGACACACTGGAGCAGGAGTCAGGACCCCATGGTTTCAGTTCTGGCTCTGCCCCGCCCCAGGATGACCGTGGGCAAGGACTTTATGGTTCTAAGCCTCAGCTTCCTCATTTGTGCGACGGAGATAATAAATAAAAGTACCCATTTCTTAAGGTTATTGAGTAAAGGAGGTTATAAGTGTTTTGTCACAAAGTCAGATGCAAAAAGGAATAGTGCCTTAGCGTTGGCTAATTTAAGACTATCACCTTGGAGATCGTTTCTTCCTGGTCACTTGATTTTTCTCCTTGATCTGGATATTTCTTGAGCTCCTGGGCCTGGCTCTCCCTGGGTCTGGGGGTTTGGCTCCCTGAGAAGCCTCCTGCTCCCTGCCCTGTCTCTGGCCTCCTCCCTCTCAGCCTGCAGACATCCAGGCTGGCAGCCCAGTGTTGGCCTATAAGGTGCTGATGGTTGATGAGACAGACTCATTCCCTCCTGTGGAGTCCTGAGCAACACTTTCTTTCCAGTCTCTTCTCCGCTAGTATTGCCAGGCCTCAGGGACATACCCGCTTGGGCTCTGGCGATGTACATTTCCTTCTGGGTGGACTGTGGTCTGCGCCCCCTGCCCGTCCCTGTTCAGGCCCTCTCTGTTTCCCTGCTCTAGGGACCGCCTGACTCACAATGACATCGTGGCCACCACCTACCTGAGTATGTCGAAAATCTCTGCCCCTGGAGGAGAAATAGAGGGTAAGTTCCCCCTCTTTTCTGCCTTCTAGTCCCCCTTGCTCTCCCTTGTTCCACCCCCTCCCGTCTCATACTTCTAGTTTTGAGAGTTTGCATGAAAGGGAAGATTATAAGGTCTTTGCTGCCTCTTTCTCAAGGAGAAGGGACCCTGGCCATCGAGAGGGGTGGGCTCGTGGACATTTAGGATTCTTCGCCCCTCAATGGTGGAATGCGCCTCCTAATGGTGCAGAGGGCAATTCACTCCTGCAGAGAAAGTTGGGGGCTGCAGCCATGTCATCCCCTGGGGTTTACACTGGCCGACTGCGCCCCAGCAGTATCTATTCTGAAATAACTTTCATTGGTCTGTTAAAAAGTAGTCTAAGATCATTTGAAGAGACAATCTGAAAGAAGAATATAAAATTTACCCATGAAATTACCCTCCCAGACAGGAACTAACTATTGATATTCTGGGACTTTTCTGTATGTATGTATGTATGTATATATGTATATATGTATATATACACATACATGTATTATATATATACGAAAAACAGTGTTTTGAAACAATTTTTAATTGTTTTGAAAATCACTTTTTTGTTACTTGGTAGTACAACATATGTTTATTAATGTTATTAAACATTCTTCTACAATATAATTCTAAGTGACTATACATGTTCCATGTGTGAATGCACCATAATCCACATTAACTAGCTAATGTTGAATTATTTAGGTTTTTTCTATTTTTTCCACGTCATAAACAACTAACTTTATATTACTTTTGTAGCTGAATCTTTATGCAATTCATGATTTACCTTTTGGATGAATATGTAGAAGTGAGATTGCTGTGTCAAAGGATTTGAACATTTTAAAGCTTTTGGCATGTATCAAAATTGCCCTTCCAAAAGACTGGACTAATTTACACTCTAATCACTCATTAAGCCTGTTTTGCTGCACCCTCACCGACGTAGGGTAAAATAATGACATTACAAAAGAACTTTGTTAATTTGATGGGTGTCTTTTATTTTTGCTTTGATTTTAATTTCATTAATAGCTGATGAAGTTGACCAATGGAAATTTAAAAATGTTTTCATACTCATTTTGTATTTACCAATTATATACATTTATATACTTTATTATAAATTTCTTGTTCATGTTCTTGTCTGTATTTCTGATGGTATATTTGTCTTTTTCTCCTTGTTTTGCAAGAGTTCTATATGTGTATGGATGTTAACTTTCCCCTGTCACATACATATGGTAAATAATTTTTGTCAGTTTTATTTTTAACACTTAATAGTTTTTGACATATAGAAATTAAAATTTTTTTTATCCAGTCAAATCTACTAATCTTTTCTTTAATGAAGAAGGCAAGGATCTAATATTACTTTTTAAAAAATTCATTTTTTGGTAATGCCAATGCTATATATTGAATGATCTTTTCTCTGTAATTTGAACTGCCACCTTCGTCTTCTACTAATTTACTAAATGTGTTTTAGAGCTTGTTTCTTGATTTTTTCTTTTATCTTTAATTGTTATGTCTGCTTATTTAATTTCTTAGGTTTTGGTATCTGGGTTATGTTGGCTCTGTAAAATTAATTGGAAATATTTAAAATCTTTTCTAACATCTGCAATGTTTTATGTAACATAAGAATGTAATCTTTTGAGGATTTGAAAGAATCACTCATAAAACTATATGGGCCGGGTGCCCTTTTCCGGTGGGTGTAGCACTTGCTCTTTAAAATCTTTTCAATTTCTCCTGTGATCGTTGTTATTTTCAGTTTGTAACTTTAACTATAGTCAGTGTTGATAATTTATATCTTTCCAGAAAAGCATTTATTACATTAAGGTCTTCCAATGTCTTTACATAGTGTTGTACAGATCAATAATTTAAACAATTCTCTTTACCTGCAATGTTTCCCCCATCTTATTTTTAAAGATATGTATTTGAGTTTTCTTTCTTTCTTTTTTCATGATTAGCCTTGTTACAAGGTTTTTTTTGTTTTTTGTTTTTGTTTTTTTTTACTTTATCAGATGTTTTAAAGAAATGGCTTCTGGATTTATTTATCAATTCCAATATTTTTTCTAATTTTTTATTCTCATATTTTTACTTTTTTTTAACTCTTTTTATTTTGTTGTTTCTAGCTTTCTGGTTAACTTCTTGTGTTTATTTTAACAATTTCTTATTTAAATAATGGATGTATGCTTTCTGTCATGCTTTTCGGCCTTCAGCAAACCCCAAGGTTGTATTCGACTCCATTTTTCACTTTCATTTTTTATGTCTAAATATTTAATCTATTTTGAACTTATTTTGGTGTATTTTCAGAGAGCAGTCTGATTCGATTCCTTTGTAGATCGTCTATTTTTTCGAACGAGATGCTGCTTGTAGGAGTGTTATCTCTTTTTCTTGTAGTTTGAAAAATTACTTCAGTCTTTCTAGGCTCAGGACTCTTTTCACTGAATTTTGTCTGAGACATGGTGAGTTGTAAATCTGAGTTGAGGAATAATTCCTTTTGTTCTAACGTTACAACATGGGCAGCTGAAGACGGGGTGGGGCAGGGGTAAGAGCGGGAGTTCTGGGACCAGGCGGCGTGCTTCTCTTTCTTTGTAGCTGAATGAGTTGCTCCAAGTCTCCTTTACCAGCCTCAGCCTCATAAGGATGTTATAAGGATCCAGTGAGATTATAAATGTAAAGTTCTTAGAGTGTCTGGTACACAATGAGCCCTAAAGTAACGTTTGCTGTTCAGTATCATTATTATTGGCTTTCTGCATCACTCATCTGATCTTTTCCCTGTATTAATTCTGCTTTTTTACTGCTTCCCATGTGGTTTAAAATTGGCTATTGCATTTTCAGTTTCTGGTCACGCCTTCTTTTTTCCTCTGCCATTCCTTTTTAATATTTTCCTTTCTCTCTTTGTTCTCTCCCGGAGTCTTTGCTTTGTTCCACAAAAGCTGTGTCTTCTTGCACTCTATTGAGGATTCAAAGTCATTTCCTGAGACTTTCAGGTGAATGCTCTTCTGACTCTTTCAGATGCCAGTTTCCTATCCTGGTTGACACACTGTTAGTCCTCCTTCCTCCTTCCTTCTTTACTCACCCTCTAATGAGATCCGTTCAGTGTAGGTGTCTTTCTACAGATGGTGTGTGGGTCTCTGTCCATGCATCTGTACGATCTTTACCTGGAGGACAGGTTAACATACCCAGTTTCTGGAAGACTCCTAGGGCTCTTGAAGTTGACCAATGCCTTCTTCTAGGTTCTCTGAAACTTTTTTTTTTAATAAAAAAGCTCTTTTAGTTATAGAAAATTCAAACAACATGAAAGTAAATAATTGTACAATGAAATCCCAGGTGCCCTCAACTCAACTTTAACATTTAGCTGCTCTCTGCCATTCTGATTTCATTGTTGGTACTTGAAATTAGTGAAATACACAAAAAAACGCCTCCCAGAAGGCACTGCTTTCAGGCCTCCTGCTGTCCCAGCATCTCCCCCTCCTAACTGGGAACTGCTGTCCCAGGATGTGGACCCCCTTTCTCTAATGCCGTTATGTAACTTCTGAACACGGATCTCTTGGTTGTTCATGTAGAAATATTTGAGGCAAGGAGCAGTGCATCATGGGGGTGGAGTGGGAGAGAGGGTATTCTGGCCCCCCTCACAGATCGGGACTCCTGGTATGGAAGGAAACCTCTTCTCCAGTGTTCTGACTGGTGCTATATCCCCGTCTCCGACTCTGGGGACAGACCCCCGGCCGAGGCACAAATCGACCTTCTGACTGTTTTCTGACAGCGCTGTTTCGTGAGGCTACAGATGTGCCTGCCATCAGCCACCTAAGAGAGAGCTTAGATCCCTGTTCCCCATCAGTCTTCCTGCTGGCGGTGATGATGGCCTTGATCTTTTTCAGGGTTACTGTGATTATTTTCATGGCAATCCGAGAACGGTGTTTATTTGGCCACTAGATGGCGCTCAGGCCATGGGCGGCCCAGCGTGGTTCAGGGAGTCACTCAAAGGCAGGACCACTGTTACCCACAGATTGTTTGAGAAGTAAACGAGAACCTTCCTGCAACCAGCTAACCAGTTTAAAATGTTCTGTTAAGTGTCTTATTCTCTGTAACAACAAAAGAGTTAAACTTACTGCTCTAACTGGAGCCCTTCTCCGTGATTGCTCTGATGTTCCGTCCCTCGGAGGTGTGTCCCTTGCCCAAGCCTTGAAGGTCAACTCCCTCCCAAGCTTCTGCCACTTGTCCTGAGGCCACCACCTCAGAACATGCCACTGCATCTTTCCTTTTAGCTCTTTGTATTTTTTTTCTGCACATCGGGGGTTTCTAGCACGATAATACACTTTATTTCCTCACTGCTCTCAAAATCCAAACTAAACCGAACCGTAAAAATGGGTTTTCTCTCCGTATTCCCTGGTCTCATGGTTCGCTGGATTATTTGATCCAACCCAGAGTTTTTGTTTTTGTGTTTTTATTTTTATTTCCAGTGAGGACAGAACCTAACACTAGTCTCTTAAGCACTTCTGCCCACAAGTTTGCCTGGGCACACTTAAGTATTCCTTGGACTCTGTGCTCCAAAGCATTTAGTAAAAATTTTGTTCTCTAGAAAGGAGTGCTTTCAACTTTGAAGCCACAGTTCTTTTGAAAGGTAACGGGCACAGGAGACCCTTGAAACCTACACGGATTCTTTTATATTTTTATGCCTATGAAAATCATGCTATATCTGTATCCTACCATTTTTTCCACAGCGAAGAAATATGAAGTTAGTTTCTTTTTGTCTTTGGAACTTAGGGTTTGATTATTTCGCAGCAGTTCTCGGATTTTCCTCTTGCCTGGTGCATGGGCTGGTGTCAGGCAGCCAAACTGTGGGTGTGGGAGGTATGCCGAGAGGCAGAAGAAGCCGGCAGGGCTGGCCTCAGGTAATGGCCTCAGACTCTTCAGGAGGAGACATGGGTGTCCCTGGGGACTATCTGCTGGGCTGTGATGGGGCTGTGATGTGCAGCTCATTGAGTTGGGATAGCCTGCTCTCATTCTCCCCAGGCTTCCCCTAGGTGAGAGAGTTGAGCTTGGCTGCTGGGGCCACAAAAATGGGAGTATTCAACTGTATTTTGTGGCCTCCACAGCCCTGGTTCCTTAGGTTTAGGGAAAACACACCAAAACATTTGTGTTTTGGCAGAAGGGTGATGAGGACTAAATAGAGGCGTTGTCTTCGGTGCCTTCACTGGTCACTCTGTCCTTGACTTTATGAGCTGTCTGCAGACACGGGGGAGAGAATCTGAGATGATCTTCAGCACCTGGAAACCTGAGACCTTGCCCCCAAATTAGGAATCACTGGCCTAGGTTGTCAGCAGGGCCATGTTTCATGAGGTGCTCAGCACCGTGCCTGGCTAGGTCTGCTGAACAAACTAATGAATGAATGAATGAAGGAAAGAAGGAATTAATAAAAGATGTCATTGGGAAATAGGCCACTCTGCAGCCACCCGTCTGGTCTTCTTAGACACCAGAGGCATGTGTTGGTCAGATGGGTGGTGGGATTAGGGGACAGCTGTGTCCAGACTAGTTTGCAGCCAGGATTCAGAGTTGGTCTGGGTGGGAGGCAGGTTTGCCTTTGCAACAAGCACATGAGGGTTGGAGCTCTGACCTTGGCCTCATTAGCCTGGAATGGAATCTGTTTGCTTCTGGTGGACCCTGGCCACTGCCTTCCTTGGGGCTGCAGCTGGGCTTGTGTCGGTATTCTTGCTGTTGCTGAAAGTTCCCCTATGACCAGAGGCCCAGCTTCCCCACTGACGAGAACCTATGCCTGTGCATATGAAAATGGCCATGAATTGTGGTTTCTGTAGCCCCGATGCCTGCCAGCCGGTGTTCCCAGCTGAGGCCTGGCTGCGGAGAGCTAAGCGGCTGGATCCCAGGGCCTCAGCTCCTGCAGCTGGGCCTCGTCCTCTGTGCTGCCTTCTGCACTGGATTGGTCAGCTCTGTCCTTGCATTCAGACTTTCAAGTTCCTCTCCTCTCTCTCTCTCTGGTTATTTTTCCTTCATAATGTTTTGCTCAACTCTTGGCTCTTAACTACAATCATGGAGCTACGGGAAAATAGTAATAGGCATTATTTTTTCTTTAAAAATTTTTAAAAATATTTAATTAATTAATTTTTAAATTGGGGTAACATTGGTTAATACAATTATATAATTTTCAGGTGTACATTATAATTTGACATCTGTATATTCTATTGTGTGTTTACCACCTAAAGTCCAGTTTCCTTCAGCTACCATATATTTGATCCCTTTACCCACTTCACCTTCTCCCTACTCTCCTATATTTGACCCCCTTTACCTGTCTACCTCCCCACTCCTTAGCCTCTGGTAACCACTAGTCTATAGTCCATGTCCATGAGTCTCTGTTTGTTTGTCCTGTTCATTTGTTAGGCATTATTTTTTCGAAGGAGACCAATAGGTAAGGGTGATCAGTAAATGAAAATAATCAGGGAATTCACCAACCACATCTCTAGGCTTGGTCATTTAGCTGGTTGGAAGAGAGGACAGGGAAGGTTAGAGTGTGGGAAGGCATAGAAATAAGAGAGGACTGTGAAAGGAGACTGAGGGGTGCCCACGTTTTTGGGGGCATTTGTACCTGCTTAGAAGTGAGGATAGATTCTAAGAGCCTGGAAGTGTGCCAGAATACCTCCTTCCCTTCTTATTTCTCAATAGCTCTTACCAACATTTAGGGACACGCTCAAGTGTGTAGGACCTCCAGCTAACAGATAGAGTCTGGCGTTGTGCTTCACTTGAAGAGGCAGATGCCAGAAGCCAGATCTCAGTGTCTGCTGCTGTGAAAATGCAACAAGGTGCCCTCAGTGGCAATACTAGAAATGACCACTAGATGGAGATGTTGTGCCTCGTAATGCCATGTCTCTGAGAGCTGGGTCCCAAGTGTCAACCTGCCTGCTGGGTGGAGTGCTGGGTGTGCTTGGCTGCCTAGCTCTGGCCCTTTCGTGCTTCCCCCACCCTTTCTTTGTGTCTGTACTTTGTTCCCCTCACTTTTCTGGCTATAGCACGGAAAAGCACATTTTCTTTCCCGTGTTATTTCTTGAACGTATCGAGTCAAGTTTCGGGTCCAATTTTCAGTTGGCAAACAGAACACTCAGACGTGCAGCCAGACGCCAGTGGGGAGGGACCTGAGGGCTCGCCATGGTACTGGGGGCTGTGTTTGGCGGGGGAAGTTCGGTGATGACTTAGTTGGTGGTAAATTCACAGCTGGGCTGGGAGTAGGGCCTCGGGCCACATCTGTTTCCCACACGGGAGCTGTCTTTCCATCTGTCTGTCTGCCAGCTCTCCATCCACATGCCCATTCATGTAACCCGGTCCTCCTCCCAGCCATTACCATCCTAACCCCTTTTCCATTTCTTTACGCTTCAGAGGAGCCCGCAGGTGTGGTCAAGCCTTCTTCAGCCACAGACCGTACGTGCTTTCACCTTGGGGACAATAAGGGGGTGGGCCGGGGGGTTTTGCTGGAGGAGAGAGGGCGCTGGTTGCCAGGGAAGTTTTGATTTGCCAGAGGTGGGTCTGAGATTCCCCACCGCGGTCCCCTAGCTTACCTTTGGCTGTTACCTCCCAACTGCAGTTGAGAATTACATATTCGACTGCAGTTGAATATGTAAATTTCTTGGAATACTTTAAAGGCAGTTCCCTCGTACTCCCCAAACCCCTTCCTGAATCTGCTTGGCTCCAGCTGATGCTCGAATGAGTCCACTCTCTCGGGTAGAGAGGGAGTGGGGCAGGGAACATCTCGGGGACCAGAAGGAGGCCAGGGTGAGTTGAAAACCCTTGATTTTGAAATTTGCAAGCTAAATCATAATCGATATGGTTGTTACAAATAACCAATAATGGTCATGTTAGTTCCATTGGCCTGGGCCTCTCCCCGCTGTTCCAAATGCCAGCGCCTCGTCTGTGCTGGGGGCTAGAGGGAGAGGAAGATGGATGCAGGCGGCCCTGCTCTGGGGGAGGCACATTCGTCCTGCCTTCCGGTGGGGAATTTCTCATTTCTCAAGCCCGGTACTCCACACTGCGCCCGCCCCCTCTCCGCCCCGCCCCAGGGTCTTGCCACTAGGTGGGACTCAAGGTTCACTCACGGACTCAGGTCTGGCTCAAGCACTTCCTTACCCCACCCTGCTCGTCTGGGTTGGATCATCCCAGATGGCTCCTGTCCCCGCTCCCTCCACCCCTCGCCCTCCCCCTCACCGCTGCCCCCACGCCCACTTCCCACCTTTGGCATTCTGGCTTTTCAGGATTCTCAGAGTACACCAGTGAAATCTCATCCTGGGAAATCTGGCTTTCTGCTGGAAGATCATGACATTAACAAAAGAGGGCCCTCCCCAAAGGAGGGAAATGCTAAGGAGATTTTCCCTCATCATTAGTGTGATTCTCCTTGTAACTCTCCTCCAACTTGTTCTACTGAGTATTCTTTGCATAACGTGGGGAGAGGGAGGCTTCGAGGTGGTCTGTCTTGGGGTGGAGGGACATGTGCCCTGGGACTACTTTGTGGGGGGACATCTACCCGGGATCCCTCCCTGGTGCCCTGGGAGATGGATGGCTTCTCTGGTCACTAGGCACTGGGGCCTCCACTGTGCCTCCTCACACTCATGTGTGGGATGCAGGATGGGGTACTGGCTGAGATGAATAGGTCTGGGGAGGACCCTGGCCCCAGCTTTGCGTGCTGGCTCAGTGCATGAGCTTTGAGGTCAGACCGTTTTGGGTCATGCCACGTTGAAGTCATTTATTCCTTTGCATACCTGAGCCTCAGTTTCCTCATGTGTAATATGAGATAAAAATGACAAAAATCTCCATGTCTCAGCATTGTGGTGAGGATTAAAGAGAGTTATGGGAGACAATGGGAGCTGTCATCAGTGTCACAGCTCCACACAGGTACAGGCTGCATCCCTTGCAGGTACAGGGAACTGAGGGCTCAGGCATGCAGGTGGATGTGTTGAGCACTAGAAAGCGCCCCCCCCGCCCCCCGTCGGGGCCAGCCTCTCTGATCCTGCTTGTGTCTCCCAGTGGACGACCACCTGGGCTTCCTGCCCACCTTTGGACCCTGCTATGTCAACCTCTACGGCAGTCCCCGGGAGTTCACTGGCTTCCCAGACCCCTATGCAGAGCTCAACACAGGCAAGGTGAGCCAGCCAGCCCCCCGCCTCCCCTCGATCCCAAGGCCTGCGTGAGGGGTCTTCTAGCCTGGCCTGGGGAGCATCTAGGTCCTGCCTGGTCTCCAAGGGCCTGGCGGGGCTTGGGCAGGCCCAGGGCCAGGCAACCATCTCCTCAGAGAGACCTCCTTCTGCCTGGTCCCCTCTGGTCCCTTCCTCCCTCCCACGCCCCTCCCTTCTGCCTTGTCTCCCATTTTCCTGGTCCCCGAGGGACCTAGACCATCACCGTCTCATTTGTCTCAGGTTTTATCTCTCCTCTGGTTGGGTTGGAGTCTGGTACTGACCATCTGGGTGGCTTGGCCTGTAACCTGAACTCTTTGGGCCACCATTTCCTCACCTGCAGAGTGATAGGGGTGGCTCAGGGACCTCCTTGGAGCCTGAGAGATGACCTCAGGGCCATATCAGGCACCTTTCCTTGTCTGCCCCTCCATCCTCCCTGCTCCTGGTGATCCAACCTCCCCTCTCAGGGGGAAGGCGTGGCCTACCGAGGCCGGGTTCTGCTCTCTCTGGAGACCAAGCTGGTGGAGCACAGCGAGCAGAAGGTGGAGGATATACCTGCAGATGACATTCTCCGGGTGGAGGTGAGAGGGATGGCTCTTGGAGGGGCGGTGGTCAAGGGGGGCTGGCCTTAAGGCTTCCTGGTGGAGGAGGGCTCAGTTTTACCTACACTCACGTGCCTTCACCCCTCTGAGCCTCGGAGCCTCAGCTGGGAAGTGGGAGTAAGCCCACACCTACCCGCCTCCCTGAGGAATATTCAGAGTCTCGAGAAAGGTAAATGAAAGTATTTTTAGAAGTCTACAGCTCAACACAGACTGAGAGGCTATTTTATAACAATAACGCAAGAATAGGTAACATTAAGCACTCACCACGTGTCGGACAGTGTGGTGGTGACGTTATGCTGTCGTTGAGCCCTCCCAGAACCCGTGAGGTGGCTGCTATTAGTATCTCCATTTTACAGATGAGGAAACTGAGGCTCGAATGTATCAGAACAACACGTGGGGGAGCCGAGCCTTACGTCCAGGAGGCAGCTGTATGGAGTCCGCGTGGTGATTTAAGCTTTCAGGCTCTGTAGTCAGATGGTGCTGGCTTCAGTCCTGGCTTGACCACTTACCAGCTGTTCAGTTTCCCTGTCTGTAAAGGACAGCTAATAATTATATTCACCTCCTAAGACTGTTATGAGGGTTAAGTTAATTCATACCTATTTATAGTAAGTACTCAATCAGCGTTAGCTGTTATTACTATTCACATTCTTCAAAAACCCAGTTGTGTAACTCTTCTTTTCTCTGCCTGTCGTGAAGGGAATCATAAAGTCATCTTGGTTCTCGAGATCGAGTGCCTCCCGTGTCCTCAGCCCTGTGCCCGACACTCAGAGGGGAATATGGGATTTATTCATCCTAAGCGCATGGCAACCCGTGGCCACTGCAGAGCTGGCTGGTGTGGGGAGACCCTGAGTGGTGTGGGGTGGATGCTCTGGGCAGAGGCGTGGTAGTTTATAGCCTTTCGCCCCTTCTGAACATCAGAGGCAGAAGACCAGCCTCCTGGGGGTGGCGGTGCCTTGGCTGCTGGTTTGGATTAGGAGCAACATGGCCTCGGAGGCACAGACCTTATTAGAGGAATATGGCCAAGCACACAGGCCTGGAATGAGTTTGCTCAGTTAGTAACCAAATCTGGGCGCCGTTGCTTAGCTGGACCATTCGCCACCCATCAGTCCAGCCAGAATTTGCTGGGCGCCAGTCACGGCCAGGGCCTGCCAGACATGTGACCCTCCCCAGCCCGGTGTCTCCCTTCCTCCGCCCTGTGACTCTCTGGCCGCCCTCTCTGTTTCCAGAAGTACCTCCGGAGGCGCAAGCATTCCCTCTTCGCCGCCTTCTACTCAGCCTCCATGCTGCAGGACGTCGACGATGCCCTCCAGTTCGAGGTCAGCATCGGGAACTACGGCAACAAGTTCGATACGACCTGCTTGCCGCTGGCCTCCACCACCCAGTACAGCCGGGCGGTCTTTGATGGTGAGCTTGAGGCCACGCACCTGGATGGAACCCAGACCATGGACAGGGGCTGGACCCTAAGTCCTGTCTCCCATGGAAAGTTGCCAGAGGTCCGTTTGAGGGCCTGGCTCAGGCAAACCTGTTTGTGGGGACCCCCTGCTCTGCCCACTGTGTACTTCCTCCCCTGCTCACCTCTAGGTGGGTCCCTGCTGCCAGGGCTCATAATTGGTCTCCCCAGACTGGCTGTGGTCAGCATTGGTCCTGACCTATGGCGATCATCTACCACATGGTGGGTGTTGGGCTTGGCATAGGAATTTTGGAGAATTCAGGTTTTCCAGGGTCCTTCTAACTCTTCTGTTTTGATGAGTTGGGGACCCTTAATGAGAGCAGCAGCTAAGGGGAGCTCGGGCACCTTGTCTGGACACAGGGGAATGCTGGTCATGCACGTGTGTCCGAAGCGGCTATTAGTGGGGAGGGGAGCAGGTGCCTGTATCCATCCCACCCTCAGGCCTCTTCCCACCCAGCCCCCCACCCCTGGCTCAGTACCAGGCCTTCCTCTCCTCCCAGGGTGCCACTATTACTACTTACCCTGGGGCAACGTGAAGCCTGTGGTGGTGCTGTCATCCTACTGGGAGGACATCAGCCACAGAGTCGAGGCCCAGAACCAGCTGCTCAGGATCGCTGACCGGCTGGTGAGTGGAAGTGGCCCTGCTCCTGCTCGCACCCTGTGCATGCATCCCCACAGTGGGGGTCTTCAGACCGGCGCCATGTGGGTGCACACAGAACTATGCCCGCAGACCTCCATGGCGTCTGGGGTCCCTTGTGTTCTAACGGTGCCAGGTTTGTGGTCCTGTCCTGCATACTGGGAAGAGAGCAGAGTAAGTGAGAACCGTCCTGGGGGAGCCCTTAGTCTCACGTAGGAGACATCACAGATAAAGAGCCGAGAGAATTCGAGCAAGGAGCAGCAGGACAGAAACTTGCGCCCATTCATTCAGCCATTCATTCCCTCATTCATTCACGCATTCATTCATTCACTCACTCACCCATTCACGCACTCATTCATTCATTCATTCATCAGATGCCTTTGACTCTTACTACATGCAAGGGCTTGTGCTGGAAACTTCTAGCTGGAAGGTCGATGTGGACAAGGAGCTGACCTGCCTTCAGGGAGTCAGTGTAGCAAAGGAGAGCCCCGGTTCACCCACACCTCCCACGCAGAAGTTCCAGACTCAAGTTCAGGTGACATTTCAGGAGTACTAGGGAGATGGGGCTCAGAGGAGGGGGAGGGTCAAGGAGCGTCAGGAGGGCATTGCAGGGTGGCGGGAGGCAGGGGCCGGGTCAGGAGGCCATTGAAGTGGTCCAGGGGAGAGCGGTGAGCACTGGGAAAGGCATGACCTGGAGATAAAATTGCAGGACTTGGGCTAGAAAGGCCTGGTAGTCTGTTGGGTAGGGGAGGAGGGAGGGCCAGGAAGAGTGACTCTAGTGGCTGGGGTCTGGGAAGTCGGGAGAAGAGCAGTATGGACGAGGCCAGGTGGCGACTCCTGATTCGGACGTGGCCAGGGGGTTGCCTGTGGAGGCTGGAAGTGTCAGGCCTGGCGCTTGGCCAGAGAGTGGAGGGGAATCAAAGAGCACAGGGGCGTAGAAGCTGAGGGCGGGAAGCTGGCGTTCCTGGGAAGCTGGTGGTGGCCCCAGGCCATTTTCTGTGAGTACACGGTGTGTAGCCTCAACCAAAAGGCAGGTGGCCTGTGCGAAGGTGGGGGAGGCAGGTGTGGCCATGACACCCGAGCGAGTGAGGAGCAGTGGGATGTTGGGGACGGGACTGAGAGGCTTGGGCACGTGTGTGGGTGAGGAGGGAAGGTGGAAGGAG